TTCCCAAAGCTGGGCAGAGTATTGCAAGACAGGAAGATATCTTTGGTAACAACGAAAAGAATACTGAGCTATTACGTGACATCTGTCCTTCTTTACGACATCGAATGTTGGACGATTTCCTCAAAGATGAAGAAGACAGTCGCGGCAACAGAGATGTGGTTCTACAGAAGGATGCTAAGGATATCATGAACCGAGCGTGTGAGCAACGATGAGGTCTTAGAGAGGATGCAAACACAGACGCGGCTTATACTTAACATCAGGAAAAGGCAGCTTAAGCCCGAGGACACATAACGAGGAAGGAGGGCATGGAGAATATGATACCCACGGGTCGAATAGAGAGAAAGAGAGACAAGAGAAAATAACACGTGACATACCTGGTGGTCTTAAGCAAGTGGATGACAGAATGTGGTCTGGGCGAGGAAGCAGAGGGAAGGAACTTGTTGAGAGCTGCAAGGGATAGAGGGAGGTGGAGAGCCATGATCACTTATGTTCTGAAAGGACATGGCGCATAAAAAGAAAGATTTGATTGGCTTTACAGTTTAAATATCTCGATGTAACCGTAAGTTCTATGCTAACAGTTTCTTCTCTCGCACTTATGGAACTCTCTTCCGGCTTTTTGCTCTGCCAGTCAAATTTGATCTTCAAAAATTTAAATTCAATTCCAATTGTTATCTTGTCTTCTTAATTACTTTTATTTTGTTGTTCTCTTTCTTTAATAGTTTTTTTTTTTCCCCATATTCTCTCACACTAACTAATCGCTTGCATGTTTTATTGCCTTGTGCCTATAATTAGAAGTATTCACTACTATTTCTCTCGTAGTTTCGTCTTCAAGGTCAGAATTAGTTTAGCCTTCAGCTGTATCAACAGCTATTTATATAGTGGTGATTTCCATATGAATAATACACATTTTCTCTTCTTATAATTGGTGTTTAGCATTTTCTTTCCAGGTTCCTTTACTAATTTCATTCTGCAGGATTCTTTCGGTGACTGGAATTAACACCGTGTTATCTGAATATCTTATGTTGTTAGCATTGTGCCAACCAAACGAGAGATTACCATCTCGAAAACCTACATTTAACTGTAGAGCAGGAAAACGGAAGTAGATTTAAAAACAATTATGGCAGTTGTACAATTATTCAGAGATCTTATAAAGAGTAAACTTCTGTTTGCTTTGTCAAGTTTTCCCACCAGTCGAAATCTTTGGCCCAACTCCTTTCCGTCTTGTGTCTGATAAAAAAGTCTCCTTAAAAACACACACACAGCACAATTTTAAAATAACTGGTGGACAAATCAAGAGTGTTTTTCTTTTTTTTTTTTTTTTTGTGAAATTCCAACTTTTACTTTGATGTCTTGGTGTCGTCTGTTTATTTTTAATCCTGGACGGCAGACATATTGGTTTATGGAACTGTCAAGTGTTTACGACCCAAACAAAATTTTACCCCGACTCCAGTTTAATTCTATCTTCGACGCTCTAGAATTACTTGCTCATTCACTTCTTTACGTGTTTTGTCCCCTCAGGACGTAATCGATCATGGCTCTCCACAATTTCCTGTCTTTTGTAGCTCTTAATAAATTTTGTCGTTTTGTTATTTATCCTAAACCTTATTCCGCCATCCATTTACTCAAGCTCATTCTTCTTCTATCTGTTGTATCCCTTCAGGACGTAGGCGATCATGGCTCTCCACAATTCCCTGTCCTTTGTAGCTCTTAATAAATTTTATCTTTTTGTTATTTCTCCTAAACCTTTTCCCACCATCCATTTGATCAAGCACACTAAATATTCTATGCGTTCTTTTCCTCTGTCCCGCTTTAATTTGTCCTGTGAGTATTAGATTTTCCAATCCTTCTTTCCTCATTATGTCCCATAGAAATTTCAACTCTCTCTTCCTGATGTGAAGTATATATTGCCTTTTTGCATTTTCTCTAAAACTTCGACGTTGTCCACATATTCGGTTCATGGTATCCTCAGTATCCTTCTGTAGAACAACATTTCTGTTTGGATAGCCAAAGATGCAGTTAATATTTAAACCTTTCTTCTCACTTTCCTTCACCAGGAGGAGATTTTGTAGTTTCCTTTCCATCTCTGCTCTCAACACTGTGTCAATGACATATCTTATATTGTTAAGATTGTAGCCACCAATAATGAATCTTGATAAGACTCCTAATTCTCTCAGAATCACCTCTCTGTATAGGTTGAAAAAGTCCGGCAAGAAGGCACATCCTTGTCTTACCTTTCTTCATCTTTCAGGATATTGTCAAGCATTCACTGCCATATAGAGGGACTGGTATCACGTAAAAGTTCAGTACTCTTTCCCTTGTGTCTACCAAAGATTTTTCTGTTTCTCAATACTCAGGTTATCTATTGGGATGCATCTTTGCCTATCCAAATGCACCATTTAGATTTCAGTGTCATACTTTCTCTCCTCTGTTAAAATACTTCCCAGATATTTAAATTGGTGGACTTGTTTGATTTTGGCATCCCCAGTTTGTAATTTTCATATTGGGCTGTTCTCTTTTGCTAACAACCATGCATTTCTGTCTTCTTGCAGCTAATATTTAAACCTTTCTTCTCGTTTTACTTCACTGCCTTCTGTAGGAGTTCTTGTAGTTTCCTTTCCGTGTCTGCTATCAAAACTGTATCATCCACATATCATATGTTTCTTATTACTCCAAACATTATTATGTTTGGTCTAAGTTATCCTCAGCATCCTTCTGTAGAGCAACATTTTTATTGCTTCAAGTTTTTTCTTCATCTGTGAAGAGACTGCCCAGCATTAACTGCCATATAGGAGGACTGGTATGATGTAACAGTTCAGTAGTCTTTTCTTTGGTTCTAACGAAATTTTCCTGTTTCTTAATACTTTGCTTAGCTTTTGGAATGCAACTTTGGCTATTCGAATACGCCTTCATATTTCAGTGTCGCATTTTCCGTCCTCTGTTAAAATACTTCCCAGATATTTAAATTGTTGGACTTGTTTGGTTTTGGCATCCCCAATTTGTAATTTTCATGTTGGGCTGCTCCCTTTTGCTAACAACCATGCATTTCTGTCTTCTTGCAGTTAATGTTTAAACCTTTCTCTTCGCTTTGCTATATTTTCTGTAGGAGTTTTTGTATTTTTTTTCTTTCTGCGTCTGCTATCAGCACTGTACCATCTGCCTATCTTATGTTGTTAAATAATGGTGTCCGCCGTTGAGGAATCCTGATAGGACTTCTAGTTCTCTCAGAATCACCTCGCTGTTCGTGGCTTTGTGAGCAACTTAAAAGCTTCTTTTCAGAAAGAATGAAGAAGCTCTTTGAATATGAGTGGATCGCATGCTTTGAAGTGTGAGGAACTAGTGTAACGGACGACAACCTATCAACGTCGTGGATGTCTGGATCAGGGATATACGGACGAATTACCTTAGCGCAAGTGGCGGCAATCGTGGACACCAGCTATGAATCTGCACAAGTTATAGTGCATCATGACTTAGGGTACCGTAAAGTTTTCCTGAGTTGGGTACCCCAACAAGCAAGCGGTGCAAACGTGGCTTTGTGATCAACTGAAAAGCTTCTTTTCGGAAAGGATGAAGAAGCTCTTCGAACGATACCAGAAATGCATCGCTGTGCAGGGTGACTATGTTGAAAGGAGAAAAATACGTTTGTTCTTCATCAGTGGAAATAAAGGTGTTGCATGGTATTTGCCTTTACATATTGAATTACGTATTGCCTTTACGTATTAATAATGGCGCTATATATATATATATATATATTTCTCGGACATTCAGGCCGGTAAATGTTATTTAATACTGTTTATTATAAACAGAGCATTTACTTAAATACTTGTATCTATAAAAGAACGTTAAACATAAAAAATGTCTTTAATAAATAAATTGTCGGACTTTGTCCATTTCTTAATATATGACGTCATTTGTTTACATTTGATACGCCAGAGCAGTTATGAATGTACGAGATTCATGGAAGATTGAAGTTTTATAAGCGGTAAATTCGACCTTGCCTACCGAACGCTCCTTTTGTGGCCGAGTCAGTTAAGGCGTCAGCGTAAATGACGGTTCCGTATAGGATGCAGGTTTGAATCCTGTCAAAGGACGAATATTTTCTATGAAAATTTCTCAGACATTCAGGCCGGTAAATGTTATTTAATACTGTTTATTATAAACAGAGCATTTACTTAAATACTTGTATCTATAAAAAGAACGTTAAACATAAAAATGTATTTAATAAATAAATTGGTCGGACTTTGTCCATTTCTTAATATATATATATATATATATATATATATATGGATGATCTCTTCCTAGATGCGTACCTAGACTTTTTTTAAATCTAAGCGCGATACTAGACTGGCGTCGGGATCTCATCAATTTACAGTTGAGCTGGATAGACGTAGCCATAAGTTCTATGCTAACAGTTTCTTTTCTCGCACTTCCCGCTTGTGGAACTCCCTTCCGGCTCCATACTTTCCACACAACTATAATCTGGAAAAATTTAAATGCAATGTCAATCGCTATCTGCTATCCTCCTGATTACTCTTTCCTCTTCCCGCTCATTATTAATGTTTCTGTTCCTAATTGTTCCACACCTTGTAACGCCTTGTGTCTTAGTGGCTTTATTGCCTTGCTTGGGGTGAAACCGATTTAAAAAAATAACTTTAGCAGAGATGTGCATTGAAAATGAGGAACTATGCCAGTGTTGGTGATTTTGAAGTAAATCAACTTATTACTCAAAGGATAGTTTTTCTTTTTATGAAATAAAATGGATTTAAAAGAGAAAGCAAAAAAAAACTGAGAAAATCTCTAAGGTAAATGAAAAAAAAAAGAACAAAAAAACATAAATTACTCAATTATCATAAAAAAAAAGAAATTAAATCTTTTCGTAATATAAAAAACTGAGTTTCCGTACAAATAGATACAACCTGAAAAAAAAAAACACAAAAAAAAACCTACTTTCTCGCGTTCCTTAAGACAACAAACTAGACGAAGCCCCTAGCGTCTAGGAAGTAATGGCGAGCCTTTTGCTTACAAAGCTCATGCGATTGGAAGTGGTGGGTGCCATTGAAGAAATAAGAGTAGGTGGGTCGAATTTCGAGAGAGGTTACTTTTGTTCATTTAGTATAAATGCCTATGGGAAAAAGCACACCGTATTTTCTTGTATATAATACGAGAAGACTTTAAGCGAAAATGAAAGACACAAAACGGGGATCGTCTCATACACAAGAATACGCATCTTAAAAATAACTTATATACAAGAATACACATCTTAAAAATAACTTATATACAAGAATACACATCTTAAAAATAACTTATATACAAGAATACACATCTTAAAAATAACTTATATACGAGAATACACATCTTAAAAATAACTTATATACAAGAATACACATCTTAAAAATAACTTATATACAAGAATACGCATCTTAAAAATAAGTTATATACAAGAATAAACATCTTAAAAATAACTTATGTACAAGAATACACATCTAAAAATAACTTATATACAAGAATACACATCTTAAAAATAACTTATATACAAGAATACACATCTTAAAAATAACTTATATACGAGAATACACATCTTAAAAATAACTTATATACAAGAATACACATCTTAAAAATAACTTATATACAAGAATACACATCCTAAAAATAACTTATATACAAGAATACGCATCTTAAAAATAACTTATATGCAAGAATACGCATCTTAAAAATAACTTATATACAAGAATACACATCTTAAAAATAACTTATATACAAGAATACGCATCTTAAAAATAAGTTATATACAAGAATAAACATCTTAAAAATAACTTATGTACAAGAATACACATCTTAAAATAACTTATATACAAGAATACACATCTTAAAAATAACTTGTTTTAAACAGCATTGTTGCAAATACACTCAGTACGAAAACATCAAAAATAAGTTTTGAAACGGAAATGCAGAAAAATACAAAATGGCTAAACATCCGGTTCCTTTCTATTCTTCAATATCGTGAATAATTAAATATTTTAATGAAATGCATTTACGGCATTGCGATTTTAATGGATAATATGGTGCAATCTAAAAAAAATTACATAGGGATGGCCGTATTAGGGTGTATTATTATACAACGACGATGTTTGTGCTAACACGAAGTCGCAAGTCATCGTGACTGAGGGTTTGAGTGTATTGGCTTTGTTCAGACTGTTGATCACGTTCTATATGCGCTCTTTCCCAGAGACTTTAATTAAATTCCGCTCAGCATAGATGCAATATAAGCCAGTTGAGCTCTGTGGGTGTTGAACAATTAGATATATGCCTGAACAGGCGTCTGCAACAAGGAATGACTGGCCACTCTATTAGAGAGGCACGCTCGAATACGAGCGGCCAGTCACCACATTATACTCAAGGATTTAATTTATTCCTTGTTTTTAGCTTCCGAAGCACGAGGGCGTATTATACACAAGAAGCACGGAGGCGTATTATACAGAAAAAAATTGGGAAATACATTTCTTATTGTCCTATCGTCAGAGTTTATGGACTATTTCTAATCACATACTAAAATGGCTGATAGAGAAGATGGGAATGATGATTTCGGCAAACCATTCTACCATAACTTCATTACCTGATCACGTATTAAAAAATAAAGCTGTTACTCTCATAGCCAACCTTGACAGGAACCATTCCTGAGACCGTAATCTTGAATGTGCATACATTTTTCTTAATTGTTCACCCAATACAAGGCCCAAGACCTTTAAAAATGTAAATTGAATACCCTCTCTCTTTCACCCAATACAAGGCCCAAGACCTTTAAAAAAAATTAAATTCAATGTTCCCTCTCTTTAATCCAATACAAGGCCCAAGACCTTTACAAAAATTAAATTCAATGTCATCTCTCTTTAACCCAATATAAGGCCCAAGACCTTTAAAAAAATTTAAATTCAATGTTTTCTTTCTTTAACCCAATATTAAAAAAAAATAAAATTAATGTCCTCTCTCTTTAACACAATACAAGGCCCAAGACCATTAAAAATTTCAATTCTATGTCCTCTCTCTTCTAATAGTGTTTATTTTTTCGTATTTTCTAACAGCTAGTAACCTCTTGCGTATTAGAAGTTTTATTGCCTTGCTTGGGGTGAAATGATTAAAAAAAGACCTATTCAAAATACAGCGTTAATGAATATGGTTGTTGTATGAACATGTTCAGTATTCTCAGAATCATTCTGTAGTCCCACGTCTGTGATGAGATTGTCATATAGAAGCTTGTCATATAGTATGCGATGAGATTGTCATATAGAAGTTTTTCATATAGTATGTGATAAGATTGTCATATAGAAGCTTGTTATATAGCATGTGATGAGATTGTCATATAGAAGCTTGTCATATAGTATGTGATGAGATTGTCATATAGAAGCTTGTCATATAGCATGTGATGAGATTGTCATATAGAAGTTTGTCATATATAAGAAGCGATATTAAATAACAGTTCAGAATTGTAGAATCATGAGCACCAACTGGGTATGTATCAAAACTATTAAGGCAGGAGGCCATCCCCGTAGACAGTACCCTTCCCCCGGGAGGGAGCTGAATTTATTGCCCGGCGCCTGAGGCGTGCCTAAAAGGATAAATGCCGATGGGGGTGGGCAATTTTTCCACAGTATTGACGTTAAACCCACTTTAAACCGCGACCTTGTGTCACATTCAGTAGCGTTCTGCATGAAACTCCGAGCCATGCAACCAATGAGGAAAAATGTATATGTTTATATATATATATATATAGGTAAAAACCGTAATGCAATTTGAGCCTATTAATATAAAATATTAAAATTGATCCACAAAAGAGAGCTCAATATATTTATTATAGAGCATATAAGTGAATAACAACAATGAAACCGAAATTACCCCATTCAGGTGACCAGTTTGTCCCCGGTACATTCTCGCTGGGACTTGTCAATACAAATACATCTGAATGTTAAATTCATATTTTCCTTCCTCTATAATCTTTTAAACTACTCTTTGTCTTAAATAATATATATATATATATATATATATATATATACTAGCAGTAGAGCCTGGCGTTGCCCGGGGATGTAACAGTAAGAGATAGATCGAGTATCGACCATCATAAAGACTGAAAAATAAAATTGACAAAGATTATTGTTTAAGGTTGACGGACACGCATGTCTTAATTAGTTTTATTTATTTATTTATTTTACGAATTGGTCAAACCCAAACTCAAACAAAAAACATTGTTTTCAATCGTTATGAGTCTAGCGATTGAATAAATTTTATTATAAACAATTGTCTTGTAGATGGAATTTTAAAAAGCATTCTGAATGTAAAAATAAAGAAAAAAAGTGTAAGACAATAAGAAACACACCTGCCAAAAAAAGTGAGGTTTTGTTGAAATCGGTTGAAAATGTAGGAAATCCGATCCATATATAAACGAACACACACACAAACAACCTGGGTTTTATAATAAGTATAACTCAATATGAGTTGTCCCCCTTTCATTTTCGCGATGACTCTTAATCGTGTTTTCAAATTGATTTCGTGCAAAAACAATTGTGTTTTTCCAATTTTTGGCACTGTCATAAGCACCGCAAGGTAATTTTACGTAGTCCTGTGAAGTTTTGTAGAAATCGGTTGAAAAATGTAGGAAATCCGATCCAATATATAAACGAACAGACACACACACACACAATCTGCGTTTTATAATAAGTAAGATATATATATATATATATATATATATATATATATATATATATATATCGGTAGTAAAAACCGTAATGCGAGTAGTTCCTATTAATATAAAATATCAAAAGTGATCCACAAAAGAAAGCTCAATATAGTTATTATATAAGTGAATTACAAAAATGAAACCCAAATCACCCCATTCAGATACCCATTTTGTCCCCGGGAGATTCTCCTTTGTACTTGTTAATGGAAATACATCTGAATTTTAAATTCATATTTGCCTTCATCTATAATCTTTTAAATTCCTCTTTTTCGTAACTTTTATGTTTGCTTTTTTTATGTATTTTTTTATGCATTTTTGTGAGAATTTTTTCCCATTTGTACAAGAGTTAATATGTTAAATTAAGGTCTGTGTTCATCTTCAAGCGTCTTTTTTCTGTCTCGACTTGTTCCGGTCACTGGCAACCACCTTAGTTTCTTTGTCTCTCTCTATCTCTCCATAAATCCCATTTCCCTTGTATGTCCTTTGTTTCTCTTCTTTCTTCTTTTTCGTCCTTCTTCTTTTCGTTCCTTCCTTCCATCCTTCTTTCTTTCTTTCTTTGTTTCATACTAGACGCAATCATTGCGTCTATCATGAAACAGTCTGTCGCCTCTGAGTGTTGACTTCAATGTTCACTTTTGTATTTACATACGCTCTATCCCTGATATTGAGCACTTTATTCCATAAATATAGTACACCTTAAAATTATATTTCTTTTATATATATATATATATATATATATATATATATATATATATATATATTACGATAAACGTGCAATCAATTTACAAATTCATGAATTATTCACACAAAAAACAAAAGCAAAGGTTAATGATTTAATTGGCGAGAAATCCATCATCGCAAACAATTCAAATAATATACAAAACCTCCGAATCCGTTATGAATGAATTGATTCTTGTTTCCATAAATTTCGCCGTATTAGTTCTTATTTTTACTACAAGCTTTCGTCTGTTCCTACAGACATCTTCAGGTATAGAATAGATGTTGTTCTTGTTTTTTTCTCTTAGTAATAAGAGGACAACGAAAATATATGTATTGTTGTATCCGAAAATGCTATTGAAAATGAGTTATTGTTTTTGAGCGCGCCAGTAGCAACGCTGAGTTTGATTTTAAATTTTTAAAGGTTGTGCGTTCATATATTTTTTTGAATATATATATATATATATATATATATATATATATATATATATATATATATATATATATTGTGTGTGTGTATTTAGGCAACATTTTTTCATTTACTATTTATTATTTAATGAGACATGTATGAATATATATATATATATATATATATATATATATATATATATATATATATATATATATATATATATATATATTTCGTTAAAACGACTGACAAGGTACTTTTAATTTAATTTTTTTTTTTTTTGCGGACTTATAATATTTTTTTTTCTGAACATAAATTATTCATAAATTATCCAAATCTTCTGTATCTCCTAGCGCTTTCGGCTATTCTTTTAGCCATTGTCATTGATGATAATTATTTTTACTTTTAACTGAATGTAATTGACTCTTCTTTTTTTTTTTTTTTTCTTATTTCAGTATGGATTTATAGCACACCTTAAACCTATATTTCTTTATACACATACACACACACACACAGACACATACACATACACACACACACATATATATATATTTATGATTCCTTCACTAGAAGCATTCAAAGGATGGAACACGTCATAGGATTTTTATATTGCCATTCAATTATCCAACTTATAGATGCATCTTTATAAAATATGCACCAATCAATGGAAGGACGAGAACTCTTTTGATGTATCCATTTGCTATACGGACCTCGGCCTACCGCAAGGCGCAATATACCAAAACTTAAATCAAAATGGCGGGCGAATCAGGTTCTATGACTCTATGCTAGGCGCCCTAGAATATTAAAATGCAGACCCTGAAAACACTAGTGAGTGTTTATTTAATAATTTTCATTTTTTTTCCTTTCAAATTTGTCATTTTTGGACGAACAGGAAGTGCCGACGGAGGATGAGATGGGTGGGCAGCTTATCTTTTGCATGTACTTGAGGTGTGCTTATCTCTCGATGTTAAAGATAAGCAACGTCGAAATGGACGGCTTTTAAAAAGTCATAAACGTTTTTTTTTCTGTATGCAAATACTGAACGCACACACAGAAATATATATATATATATATATATATATATATATATATATATATATATATATATATATGAAATGGATTAAGTCCGACAATTATTTCCTATATTTTCTGTTTACATTGTTTTATACATAAAAAACGTATAAACAGAAAATATATTAAATATATGAAGAAATCTTTGTATATTCATGTAATATCCGAAGAGTTGGACCCATTCAAACACTTTTGATTGTCTGTCTGTCTGTCTATCTATCTATCTATCTCAGTCTATTCATATCTATCTATCTATCTATCTATCTATCTATCTATCTATCTATCTATCTATCTCAGTCTATTCATATCTATCTATCTATCTATCTATCTCAGTCTTTTCATATTTATCTGTTTATCTCGGTCTGTTCAGATCGATCTATCTATCTCAGTCTATTGATATCTATCTATCTATCTATCTATCTATCTATCTCAGTCTATTCATATCTATCTATTTATTTCCGTCTGTTAAGATCTATCTATCTATCTATCTATCTATCTAAGTATAAAATAGCGCGCAATGAGTGGTGATGGTAATAAACAGTGAATGATGTAAAATAAATAATACATAAATAATATATACATATATATTTTAAGGAAATGTTTTCGTGTGACGCGTTTCGACCTTGAGAACTTCACTGGACTAAAGTGATATTTAAAATGTGACTAAGCATCACGCACAAAGCAAAGGGCAGACAATGAAATTTAATTTTTTTTTAAATATGTGTTTTGGGAATATAGTCTACACAATTTCATTTCGTGTCTTTTTTTTTCTTTTCGTTTCCATCAAGTGTTATTAAATATCCCATAATGCACCTTCACGGCACGTTTTATCAAGTAAGTCATTATTTTACGTCAATTTTCAACTGTTAATCGTGGGAAACAAATTAGATATTACATACGTGCACACACACACAAACACACTTATATATATATATATATATATATATATATAGAGAGAGAGAGAGAGAGATTGATATATATATATATATATATATATATATATATATATATATATATATATATAAACCCAGAGGTATTTCATGCTAAATGCAATCGTAATCTATCTAAAGCACTTTTAAGCCATAAATATAGTATACGTTAAAAATGTTATATATATATATATATATATATATATATATATATATATATATATATAATAGTAATAATCTTATAAATATAAGAAATTATACTCATCCAGAAAACCTTGGGTACCTTGATATGTAAATAAACAGTCCAATACACAAGGGGAAAAAAGGTACTAAAAAAGAAAGAACAGAGAACATGTACTTCAGCCGAAGACAATCGTCTTGCATCCAAGTTTAGAGGCCAAAGAAGAAAACCCGATACGAGTAAGTAAAATAACTAAGTAAAGTTATATATATATATATATATATATATATATATATATATAGGTATACATTTAAATTCAATGAAATAAAACGCAAAAAAGGCTTTGAATGTTGCTAAACAAAATCAAAATCACTTTAAGGTTCCATTTATATATATATATATATATATATATATATATATATATATAAATAAAAAAAAAATAAAACCGTTGATGGAACCAATGGACAACTTGCCAAAACCTAAAACTCTTATCCATATAAAGTCTCGAATAAAAAACGACAATACTGAAAAAGAAAATGAAAAAAGAGCCCAATTGCAGACTTTCCAACTCAGTAAAGAAAAGGGCCCGAAGCCCAGATCTCCTAGACAGAGCAAAAAGCGTTTAAAAACATTAAATTAGATGGCCCTAGTCGTAAACCGAGTTTCGTGCCCACGCAACCTCCAGACGACTTGAACGCAAATAAAAAGGCGCGGCAATCTATATATATATATATACATATATATAATTATTCATTTAAAAATATGATTCCAACTCGCAACATATATTCAAAACAAGAGCCGAAAACTTCAATATAATTATTTGAATTAAATTGAGTTAAAGTAAGCTCTGTTCCATCTTCAAGCGAAATTTTTGAAGATGGAACAGTACTCACTTTAACTCAATTTAATTCAAATAATTATATTGAAGACCTCTTGAAACATGAGACCTCTTATGTCGCGAGTTGAAATCATATTTTAAATGAATAATTATTTATGCTCTACTTTTGTATCGAGCACTATTTTTTAAAATAATAACTAAAAATACTAAGGAACTTTGGATTATTTACCCAACCAGTTCCTTCCTATTTTTCATATATTTTCCCATATTATATATATATATATATATATATATATATATATATATATATATATAATGCGAATGTCAATGTATCAGTGTGTCACATTTTTTGAACTTTACTCCTAGAGGCCGTTGCCAAATATATCATACCATTTCGGAATCAGGGCGAATCCATGAAGAAATTAAAAACATTCCTGGCCTGATCCGGGTCCGCAATCCTGACATTTTGGATTCCCAAGTTTTCATTACTGCAATCGTTTTCGGATTGTGCCATGTGGAATTTTATTGATAAAAGCTATTAAAGGGACACAACTCTCTAACTTTCAATAGCTAATGTTCAAATAAAAAAAAAATTTACTGTTCTTAAATGACAGTGTTTCAAAATAAAATTGTCAGTGTTTTCAACTTTACCCCTAGAGGTCGTAGCCCAAGATATCTTACTATTTTCGAATCAGGTTGACGCCATGAAAAAATTAAAAACATTCCTGGTCGGAACAGTATATTCTTATAATAAAATAAGCAATAATACATTTTATAGCAAATTAACAATCAATGCAACAATAAAAATTTATATATAAAAATAAATTTTTTAGTTAAATTACCAAAAGTACAATTTATGATCTGTACAGTGTTTCTCAATCTTTTTAAGCAAAGGCACACCAAGAAGAAAATGAAAATATCACGGCACACGTAGGAAAATTGTTTAAAGGGTACACATTTAAATTTAATGAAATAAAACTATAGATTTTTTTAAAAAGAAATACACACACAAATATGAACTTTATTTCAATGTTTCTATTCAACTTTTTTTGCAGCTTATTTAATGTGAAACCTGTGCCTGTTGCATTTTGGCGATTTCATCAATATTTTGCGGCGTACTTAAGAGGATCGCGCGGCGCACTAGTGATCTATAAACTATATGTCTAAAAAAAACATACCTTTACCCTAAAAGTATAAATATCTGTAGCTGAAAGCATAAAATTACGATTTCGGCATTAAATAACCCATAGAGATGTTGATATGCTGCTAAACAAAATCAACCAATCTATCCTCACTGTCGTCTATTATGTTATGGCAAACGAAAACAAAAAAGTTAATCTGGAGAAGTTTTGTCAAATAGATCCGCCAGCAAGGCTTCTGATCGGAAGATTGGAGCTTTTCTGGAGCGTGAAACCACTTCTTAATTGCTATCGTTCCTAGATCCACCTTGACCCGGTGTGGTAGCACCTGTTAGGGTCCCAGCTCTGGGCAAATAATTAACTCCCAAGCAAAAACAAAATGAAAATGTGAAAGAGCATTTTTGTGGTAAAAATACCAGCAGTAAATTTTTATATAAGGAAATTAGTGTCAATGACTATTTAATACTAAAATTACCAACAATACATTTTTAAAGCCAAATGACCAACAATACATTTTATCTGTAATTGAAGGCATACAGTTACGTTTCAAATATATTTAGTTGAAGCTATAAAATTGTGTTCAAAATATTTAGATTTTGGCATTAAATAACCCATAGAGGTGTTGATATGCCACTAAACAAAATCAACCAAAAAAACCATATAATATCCAACATTTCCTTAAAGAAACCAAACTGTATTCCAAAATATGACTTCAACAAAACTACAACATATAACACACACATCACCACCTCTAGTAATTATATCCATACAAACATGTATATGCATGAAAGCCAAGTATCATCTACCATGTGTCCAACTGTGAAAGCAGAATAACATATATCATATTTCTATTACCAAGTTTGACTTTGGTGGAGTAATTGGCCATGGCTAAGTGTAATTGACGAAATCCTTAACAAGCAGAATTAACAGAGTTTTCAAATAATAAGAAAAGGAAGAAAAAACATGGCATACAATTCCATTCAAAATATATTTAGTTGAAGCCATAAAATTGTGTTCAAAATATTTAGATTTTCGCATTAAATAACCCATAGAGGTGTTGATATGCCGCTAAACAAAATCAAACAGCCAACATGAAAGAACTCTTTCATAACATTAATCCATATAATATCCGATAATTTCTTAAAGAAATCAAACTGTATTCCAAAATATAACTTCAATAATACTACAACATAAAGAGACTTGAAGTAACAGAAATGTCGTTTTACAGAAGGATGCTGTGGAGAACCGTAGACCGAATATGTGAACAACGAGTTTTAGAGTTTAACATTGGGAAGAGAGAGCTGAGTTTTTAGGTCACGTAACGAGGAAAGAGAGCTTGAGAAATCTGATACTCACGGGACCGATTGAAACGAAAAGAGATAAAGGAAAACGACGAATAACATATTTAGTGAGCTTGAGTAATTTTTTTTTTAAGCATTACGCCCCGAGCAAGGCGTGAAGCCACTAGGATGCAGGGGGTTGCAGAAGATTTGGAGCAAGAGCAGATAGGAGTGATAGAAGAAAGGATGAGGAGAAGGATAGTGGATAGATCAAGGCAACTGGAGATGTCGATTGACATTACATTTGAATAGTTGGAGATTATAGCTCTCAGGGAAACAGTAATTGGGAAGGGTGTTCCACAGGCGAGAGGTGCGAGGTATGAAGCTATTGGAGTAGAAGAGACGGCTACATTTAAAAGTTATGGCAGAACAAGGTTTAGGAGAAATAACAAAAAAACAAAATTTATTAAGAGCTACAAAGGACTAGGAAATTGTGGAGAGCCATGACCGCCTACATCCTGAAGGTATACAACAGATAGAAGAAAAAGAATGAGCTTGAGTAAATGGATGGCGGAATAAAGTTTAGGAGAAATAACAAAAAGACAAAGTTTAGTAAGAGCTACAAAGGACGGGAAATTGTGGAGAGCCATGATCGCCTACGCCATTTCGCACTATTTCTTTCTTATTTTATTTCGCCGTCTTTTTTTAAATCTCATTTTATATCTTTTTGTTCATTTCTTTCCTTTCTGTTGGATTCACGACCCCCCCACCACCAACAACAACAACACCAACGCCTCCACCTTTCGACAGCCTTTTCCCATTTTTGGGATCTATTATTATATTACTTTAACAGTCCCACATTTACACAAACGTACGCACGCAGACACCCCCTCCACACACACAGACACACACAGAGAAGCAAAGACATACCCTCACATAGACACACACACGTACACACGCGTAAACCCGCACGCACGTACGCACTCACAGAGAAATATACGCGCACACATTGAGGACCACACATAGACACGCACATGCGAGCGCGCACGTGTACAGAGGCACTCAGAGAAAAACGCCGACACGCATACATACATACATACACACACACACACACATATATATATATATATATA